GTCCGATTGCGGAAAAACCGGAAATCGCTGAAGTCCCAAAAGTAATAGCAATAATCTCCCAAACATGTGGAACGTTTTGATGTATAACTTGTGGAAATTGTTGAAAATGTGAAAGCTGTGAAACGTGTCAAAAAAAATGACGGAATAAAGAAATACAAAACCAATGGTTGACTGCGGAAGGTTCCGCAGTCAATCAATAAATAACTAGAAACTTGCAATGGCTGAAGCCATTGCGATTGACTGCGGAACAGATCTAATGTGGAAATCTGCTAAAAAAAATCCTTGAAATCCTTTAAAAGGCCTTGAAACTGTTAAAATACTTGATAGATATTTGAAACTCCTGAAGTCCTTGAAATTGTTGAAACCTTTAAACTCCTGAAATCCTTGAAACTGTTGAAACATTGAAACTCCTGAAATCCTTGAAACTTTTTTTAAACCTGGAAACTGTTGAAAGTGTGGAAACTCCTGAAATCCTTGAACCTCCTGATATCCTTGAAACTGGTTAAATTCTTAAACAGTTGAAATCCTTGAAACTACTGAATGTATTGAAAGTGTCCTTGAAACTGAAAAATCCCCTCACCGCTGAAACAATTTGGTTCCTGTAACTAAGGAAACCTGGTCTGTGGTCATTATCTGGTGGTGGTCTGAGTCTTCGTTTGGGTCTTGGTCTGGTGGTAGTTGCCATTATAGGTTGCATTTACATGTAAAAAAAAAATCCCTATTAAGTTGCATTATACTGGTTTACATGGAAAAATCCCTATTAGGTTGCATTATACTGGTTTACATGGAAAAATCCCTATTAAGTTGCATTATACTGGTTTACATGGAAAAAACTCTATTAAGTTGCATTATACTGGTTTACATGGAAAAATCCCTATTAAGTTGCATTATACTGGTTTACATGGTAAAATCCCCATTAAGTTGCTTTATACTGGTTTACATGTAAAAACCCCTATTAAGTTGCATTATACTGGTTTACATGGAAAAAAATCCTTATTAAGTTGCATTGTACTGGTTTACATGTAAAAACCCCTATTAAGTTGCATTATACTGGTTTACATGAAAAAAACCCTATTAAGTTCCATTATACTGGTTTACATGTAAAAACCCTATTAAGTTGCATTATACTGGTTTACATGGAAAAATCCCTATTAAGTTGCATTATACTGGTTTACATGGAAAAATCCCTATTAAGTTGCATTATACTGGTTTACATGGAAAAAAACCCTATTAAGTTGCATTATACTGGTTTACATGGAAAAATCCCTATTAAGTTGCATTATACTGGTTTACATGGAAAAATCCCTATTAAGTTGCATTATACTGGTTTACATGGAAAAATCCCTATTAAGTTGCATTATACTGGTTTACATGTACAAAACCCTATTAAGTTGCTTTATACTGGTTTACATGTAAAAATCCCTATTAAGGTTACATTATAGTGGTTTACATGTAAAAATCCTTATTAAGTTGCATTATACTGGTTTACATGTAAAAAACCCTATTAAGTTGCATTATACTGGTTTACATGGAAAAAACCCTATTAAGTTCCATTATACTGGTTTACATGTAAAAACCCTATTAAGTTTGCATTATACTGGTTTACATGAAAAATCCCCTATTAAGTTGCATTATACTGGTTTACATGGAAAAACCCTATTAAGTTGCATAATACTGGTTTACATGGAAAAATCCCCATTAAGTTGCATTATACTGGTTTACATGGAAAAATCCCTATTAAGTTGCATAATACTGGTTTACATGGAAAAATCCCTATTAAGTTGCATAATACTGGTTTACATGGAAAAATCCCCATTAAGTTGCATTATACTGGTTTACATGGAAAAATCCCCATTAAGTTGCATTATACTGGTTTACATGGAAAAAACCCTATTAAGTTGCATTATACTGGTTTACATGTAAAAACCCCTATTAAGTTGCATTATACTGGTTTACATGGAAAAAACCCTATTAAGTTGCATTATACTGGTTTACATGTAAAAACCCCTATTAAGTTGCATTATACTGGTTTACATGGAAAAATCCCCATTAAGTTGCATTATACTGGTTTACATGAAAAAAAACCCTATTAAGTTGCATTATACTGGTTTACATGAAAAAACCCTATTAAGTTGCATTATACTGGTTTACATGGAAAAATCCCTATTAAGTTGCATTATACTGGTTTACATGGAAAAATCCCTATTAGGTTGCATGATTACACTGAAGTCCTTGAAACTGCTGAAGTCCTTGAAACTGCTGAAGTCCTTGAAACTGCTGAAGTCCTTGAAACTGTTGAAGTCCTTGAAACTCTTGAAATCTTGAAACTGCTGAAATCCTTGAAACTGTTGAATCCTTGAAACTGTTGAATCATTGAAACTGTAGAAATGTCTGAAAGAGCTGAAGTCCTATTAAAATGCATGGGCCTATTAAAATGCATTGCAGAATTCTCAATGCAGATTTTTTGTCCGATTGCGGAAAAACCGGAAATCGCTGAAGTCCCAAAAGTAATAGCAATAATCTCCCAAACATGTGGAACGTTTTGATGTATAACTTGTGGAAATTGTTGAAAATGTGAAAGCTGTGAAACGTGTCAAAAAAAATGGTTGACTGCGGAAGGTTCCGCAGTCAATCAATAACCCCCTGAGCGTCATCACGTTCCTACGTTGCTTCAAATATAGTCCTGTTTATTGGCTGAACAATTTTGTCCAATATCATATCACACAGCGTGAAGCGAGAACAACCAGCTATTCCTCGTCTTAAAGATTGACAACGCTCTCAAAACATTCACAACAGAGCAGCCTTTTTCATTTTAATTTTAAGAAAGTTCAGCGTGAACTTTGGGAGGTAGAGGAGCCAGAGGCCCGGGCCCGTAGGTCCCAGAGGAGGAGAGCGCGGTCAGGCCAGGCTCGCCTTGCACTGATGAGGTAAACTCTAGGCCTGTGTGAGACACACTGTGGGCCTCACTAGGCCTCACTGTGGGCCTCACTGTGGGCCTCACTGTGGGCCTCATGTATGAAACCTGCGTACGGCCAAATCAGGGTAAATGAGGCGTATGCAAAATATTACACTTTTCCGCATTTATCTATCTGGACGTGAGCGTACAATACGCAAAAAATAAACGCCAGGTCTGGAGGTGGTGTAAATCTATACGCTGAACTCAACCTTCGGCACAACACGCATGAAATTCAAGATATGGACAACAATAAACATATTCCCTCTGGCAAAATTATATGCTGTGTTTTCATTGAGGATCATGTTTCAAAATTTGAATTTGCGCATCAGAAAAAGTCTAATGGAAACACGCAAACTTCGAATAAATCACAGCTCATGATGAGGACCCTCTATTAAATCTGATTGTGTGTGTATTATTTTGATCTGTATGTTTTTAAAATGTGAAGCGCTTTGTGATCCTGGACAGTGAAAGGCTCTATATAAATACACTTTACGCAACAGGGATGTGTGACCCATCTATTGCTGTGGCAGGCTCTGCGCTGCGTAATTACGCACGGCTATTTGTATTCCTCATTCACATCTGGTAAAGCAATGTGTTATTTCATTAGATTTGTGTAAGCCTCACACAGACACACACCCCAATAACGCATCGATGGTATTGCTCACTCAAACGTCTCACTGCCCTGTCCAGAGTGCGCAGCGAGTGCCGTGAGAGGTCACGCCACATGTGCAGAAGTTTTGGCTCCAGAGTTTCTTTGTGAAATCTGGACCGCAAACGCTCTCTGAAGTGTACAGCGCCTCATGCGCACTTCTACCCCGAGCCAGGCTGCGTCCAAGACGCTGCAGACGCTTCATTCATGAGAGCCACCGCTGCATAATATATATGAATTAATTCATTCATTCAATCAATCTATATTTATTCACTTCTACAATTCAATAAGGATTTTTCTAATGTATCAAAACATTTTGGCAAATTGCGTAAATGGAATATACACCCAAAATGTACACCTTTTTCAACGCAAGTTTCATAAATGAGCTTGTGTGTATGTGCGCGCGTGAGTGCGTGTGCGTGCGTGTGTGCGTTTGAACCATATTCTTTGAAACCCCAATTCCAGTTAGCCCTTGTAGTTTGCAAGCGAATTTGGCCTACTTACTAATCTGCAGGCCTACCCAAAATTGCAAACCTGGCGCCGATACTGTTGCGAGGATGAACGGAGGGAGATATGTTTCCAAAAATAAAAGGTGGTGGAGCTAATTTTACTTTTCTTATCTGCAACACGTTCTTATTCTGAGGTGGTAGGTTGTAAAAATGTAGTTGGCTACTACAATGCGAGATCTACTAGGCTTATAATATAAAGTATTCAGTAGCCCTAGACCTGTTATGAGCGAAAGCCGCTTGTTGCTCCATTATCCGCGCGCAGCAATAACATGTCTATGAGCGAGGCCCGCAGTCGGGGAACACCGGGCCCTCCGGCGTTTGGAAGGTCCGATGTTCCCCGGGTCCGGAGTTCCCCGGGGAACTCCGGACCCGGGGAACACCGGACCCGGGGAACACCGGACCCGGGGAACACCGGACCCGGGGAACATCGGACCCGGGGAACATCGGGCCGACCCCCATAATCCTCACCATTACCTTTTTATCAATTTAAACTTTCTACCAGTTACAGACCACGAGATTCAAGCCAACGTTTTAATTGATCTATACTATGATCCTGATGGTTTGATGGTGGAATTTTGCTCCTGGTATATTATTTTCGTTTAAAGTGACAAGTGGTATTTGATTCATTTCGGCAGTGTTTGTCCGAAACATGTGGGCGGGAGTTGACAGGCGGCGGGGGCGTGTCTTAGTGACGTCATTTAGATTGTTTGCTATGGGCAAGGGCTCCCGGACCTGTGTCCAGATCTTTAGATGTTGGTAGTCTATTAGGGGCTTAAATCGATTTAGAAGGTCCTGGCCCAGTAGGAGCGGATGCGTGTTGAATGGGGAGATGTAGACCGGGTGGACCAGTGTCGTGGGGCCCACGGTCAGTCGCATTAGAGCCATTTTACGTATGGTCGTATCTACCTGGGAATAGGAGTGTATTTCTAAGTCGCATGGCTGCGTTTTTAGGTGTCTGTGGGATTTACTGGCCATAGACTGTAACTTACCGAAGAGGTCTTCGCCAATCAGGCTGATATCGGCAGCTGTGTCCACGAGCGCCTCGTGTTCCCAATGGTCTTCGAGTGTTACGGGCAGGTAGAGTTTCCCGTAGGTACCTCTTTGTTGTAGATCGCCAATGAATTGGCGGAACGGTGGTTCGCAGTTGGTTGTCGAGGGGCCGTCCTCTCGTGGGTCCGTGATGGAGTTTACCTGTATTACCATGACATCCCTCTGGTCGTAGCAGATGTCCACCGTTTGTGCGCTTGAGTAGTCATCATTTAGCTCCTGTTCGCTGAGACCGTCGTCCATGTGGTGGGGAGCATTCTCGGCGTCATCCGACACGGACACTGCGAACACGTCGGCGTTGTCTGTCTTCTTCTCTCTGGCTTTGCGCAGGAGCGTGCGGAGGAGGGATTGTTCCTCCCTAGAAAGGTTGTCTTTATTAATGGTTGTAGCGGTGCGGTCTTGGTGGGGCCGTTGTGGCGCGCGGTCTGTCCTGTCGGTCTGGAATTTGTTCTTCGGGTCCGCGTGTGTCTGGTTATTCCTTTGGGGTCCGTGGTTGGTTCCCCATTTGTGTTTTCGGGCCGTTGGTGCGCCCTCAAGTTCCATGTGGTTTTCCACACTGTACACTGTAGGTTGGGTTTGCGGCTTCGCCTGTGTCTTGAGCAGATGTTTGCCTTGTGCTCGTGCCACCAGGGTCTTCAGTTGCCGTATGTCCTGTGTAAGGGGGCAGGCGTACACGCCCAGTAGCTGGCTAAGGTTGGGGTGGAGGTTTTGGAGGTACAGGGCCCTGAAATTCGTGTCTTCCTCCATCCCTTCGTAGTTTCGGTTGCCGAAGAAGGCCTGTCGCAACCTGTGGTAGTAGCATTCCGCAAGCTCGTTGTGAGCTTGTTTGACTGCCATGGCTGCCGTGAGGGTCCCGGAGGCGCCGTAGTCTGAGTATTCTGCTAGGATGGCTTTGCAGAGCTCGTTGTAGTCATGTTTTATAGCCCTTGGTTGCCTTTCGATGAAGTCATTCACCTCTCCGTTGGACGTGAGTCTAATCAAGTATATTTTGTCATCTTGAGACGCGTGTGGTATGCGGTCGGCGTGGAAGTCGACGACGCGGAGGTATGATCGGGTGTTTGTAGGCATGCCGGGCCGGGGGTCAAAGCGGGTTATGTGTCTAGCTATGCGGTCGAAGTCGCGGTTGGATGGTCCGAGCGGGTCTCGACCTATCGGGGGCGCGTAACGGGCGTCGCGTCCTCTATAGTCCGGGTAGTACCGTTGTCCCGGGGTCAAGTCCTGGCGTGCGTCCGGGGGGGTGCTGTGGGGTTGTCCTCCATGATTGGGGAGGTCCCCGGCGTTCCCATGGCGGGTCACTGGCCGTTGTGCCGCAGCATATGCGGGCGGCCCAGGCTCAGGGTACCGTATGTCGTGTGGTCCATGTAGCATGTACTGATGTGGGCCAGGGGGGTCGTTGTAGGGTTGTCCGCCATGTTCAGGGCGGGCCCTGTCGTCCCAATGGCGGTAGTCTGAAACATGTCTCGTATGGACGTCAGGTGGGTCAGAGTCATGGGTCGGGTAGTCATGTTGGCTGCGTCGCATGTCCATGTGTGTTCCCGGAGGGGCGACGTGGGAGTCCCGTCCCTGGTTGAGGTGGTCTCCACCGTCCCAATGGCGGGCTGTTGGCCGTTGTTCGCCGCGGTCCATGGTCAGTCCGTGTGTATGGGTCTGGTGGCCATGCGTTTCGTGTTTAACGTGCCGGTGTGCTGCGGCGGGTCCGGCCGGGGGTTGTCTCTCATAGGCGGAGGGGTCCCCGGGGACCCGTGAGCGGTCTGTCACGTGGTACGTTGCCTGGCTCGTCGGTGGGTCGAGTCTGGGGTCAAAGTGGTCGATGTGTGTAATGTAGTGTTGAGGGTTGGCTGTAGTTGCGGGCGGTCCCGTTGTATGGTGGGGGTTGCGCGCAACGCGATCGGGTTCGTCATCGACGGACCGTTGGGACCTGTTCCGATTGTTACTGTTGGGTGGTGTATCGTGCCTTTGACCTTGGTTCTGGTCTTTTCCCGTGATGATACTTACCAGTTCGGCCACGCTCCTGCGTTCACTCTCGGACGATGGTCCGCCACGGTCGGAGTGAGGGGAGTGTGCGCCGGAGGCACTATCTCGGCCGGTTCCGTTCGAAATAGCGGCCCTGATTCTCGCTGCGCGATCTAGATCCATGGTCGCGCTTGGAATCGTGTTAAGTCCCGGTTGGTGGTTCCCACTTACCTGTTGGATTGGTTCCAAGCGGCTCGCGGCGGACCTCTTAGCTTCCGCTAGTTGCCGTTCCAGTTCACCTACCGTGTCTTGAAGCCTTTGGTTCTGGGCTTCGGAGTCGCGTAAGGTTATTCTGGAGACCGTGGCTAGCTGTCCCAGCCACTGGGTCAGGGTCTTACCTTCTAGTTTCTTCGTAATAGCCTCGGATGCCAATGTGGAGGTGGCATCTAGTAAGTCAGAGGGTGAGCCGTGCTCAAGCATGTCGTAGGTTCCTGGGGATAACTTCTCTGTGAAGTCGCGCAGAAAGTTGTCCACTACGTCGTGTTCCTCCACGACACTGTTGTGCTCGCTCGGTCGTGGCGAGTTTCCGCCGTCGGTTTCCATATTTGTGTGGGTGAGTGTATGCGAGTATGATTTGGAACGTGTGTGCATGACACAGTGGGAGGAGGAAAGGAGGAAAGCAGTGCTATAGAGAGGGTGGTACAGCTGTTTGTGTGGTGGTGCAAACCTTGGTGTGTGTCAAAGCCGTGACTACAGCGTCCTCTCCGTGTGGCGGTGTATGCGAGTGGGCAGCCTAGGGCAGGGGCCGGGCGTTAGTACTTCTTCACCTGTGTGTCAGCAAAGAGCGTTGGGGTTAGTGGCGTCGGCGCACGTAGGGTAGTAGTGGTACCAGCGGTAGCAGCGGTATTAGGGCGCGGCGTCAATACACAGCGGTTTGAGACGCAGCGTGGGGCGCGGCGTAGCTTGAGACGCAGCGTGGGGCGCGGCGTAGCTTGAGGCGCAGCGTTGGTGAGGCGCAACTGCGGCGTTAGGGACGCAGCGGTGTCTTGAGACGCAGCGTGGGCGCGGCGTAGCTTGAGACGCAGCGTCGGTTTGCGACGCAGCGTGGGGTGCGGCGTGGCTTGAGGCGCAGCGTTGGTTTGAGCGCACCTGCGTATGGGACGCACTTGCGTATGGGACGCACTTGCGTATGGGACGCACTTGCGTATGGGACGCACTTGCGTATGTGTCGCACTTGCGTATGTGTCGCACTTGCGTATGTGTCGCACTTGCGTATGTGTCGCACTTGCGTATGTGTCGCACTTGCGTATGTGTCGCACTTGCGTATGTGTCGCACTTGCGTTTGTGTCGCACTTGCGTTTGTCTCGCACTTGCGTTTGTCTCGCACTTGCGTTTGGTGTCGCACTTGCGTTTGGTGTCGCACTTGCGTTTGGTGTCGCACTTGCGTTTGTCTCGCACTTGCGATTGTGTCGCACTTGCGTTTTTGGTACGCACTTGCGCGTTTCGGACGCACTTGCGTTTGGTACGCACTTGCGTTTGGTACGCACTTGCGTTTGGTACGCACTTGCGTTTGGTACGCACTTGCGTTTGGTACGCACTTGCGTTTGGTACGCACTTGCGTTTTGGGCCGCGGCGTAGCTTTAGACGCAGCTCAAGTAAGCAGTAGCAAAAAGGCAGCAGGCTGAGGCAAGGTAATGCAGTTTTAGTGACAGTGAGGGTTAGAAATAGAGTATTAGTTTTGATGTAGTACAAGGGGGTGGGAGTGCAGTATCTGTCAGATCACACACCGGTGTGGTTCAAGAATAACGCGCATCATGCAGGAGCAGAAGTACAGAATAGGATTAGTTACCACGGTAATGTGTTATTCATAACGTGCAGTAACAGAGGCAGAACCAGATTATTAGCTTTTGTTATGTATAGCAGTAATGTGTTCTAATAGCAGCATGCGCTAGAAGGAGCAGAGTTACAGCATGAAACTTGGCCAACGCAGTAATGTAGCCTAACAATTATGTTTAAGAGGAGAAGCAGAAGCAGAGTGTTAGCTTTTGTCATGTATAGCAGTAACGTGTTCTAATAGCAACATGCGCTAGAAGTAGCAGAGTTACAGTATGAAACTTTGGCTAACGCAGTAATGTAGCCTAACAATTATGTTTAAGAGGAGAAGCAGAAACAGAGTGTTAGCCTCTGTTCATGTATAGCAGTAATGTGGTCTAACTTAAAAACAAAGGTGATATGCAGCAGAAACCCGTGAAGCAGAAACACGGCATAGGATTGGTCACTACAATAATGCGTATTATCAGTGGTAGGGGGGGGGGGTGTGTGTGGGAGTGCAGTATTTGTTAAATCACCACACAGATGTGTTACCGTAAACTAGCAGTAGTGAGTGAGCAGGAATAAAGCATAGAATGCGTTTCACCAGCGACATGCAGTAGAAGGAGCAGAGTTTACAGCATTAAACTTGGCTAACGCAGTAATGTAGTGTAGCAATGACGTTAAAGAGGAGAAACAGAAATAGAGTGTTAGCTTTACCAATGTATGGCAGTAATGTGGTTATTGAGTTGGAGTAACAAAACAGCACGGAGGTATAGCAAAGCCGTTTCACGTTAGAGCCACATTCACAGATGATTAAAGACGTGGTGCAGAATGAAGTGTCAAGACAGCAGCAATGTGGTCCCGGAAGTAGTGCCGGGACCGGAAAGCAATTTTGTGTTAGACAATAAAAGAGGTGCGGCCCGTTTAGCAGTATGCCGACACGGCTGGCGCCTTATGATCGTCAGAACACAGAATCAGAGTGGGATAGGATAGTACGAAGTATAGTAAGTAGTGTTATTGTTAGACAGCAGGTAGACAATGCAGCAGAATGGTATTAGCAGTGGGGATGCGGCTCTGGCTTTTAGCGCGCCAGGGCCGGAAGTTAGCCGTATGCTAAAAACAAAGGAGCGTAGCTAGCATGTAGCTTGCCGGCAACGGGACATTTTGGCAGCAGTTTAGGCAATAAACAATGAGTTTTGGTGACCGAATGCAGTTCGGTTAAACAGAGTGGCACTAGTTTTAACGGTAGAGAAGCAGCTTATAGTGGGAGCAGTAGTAGGAGCAACGGCGTTGTCAGAGTTAGCTTTGAGGCTAGCGGGGCCCGGGCGGAAGTTAGCCTTATGCTAGAACAAAGGAGGGTAGCTAGCCATTAGCTTTCGAGCGTGGCACGTTTTAGCAGTAGTTTATACACGAAAGTCTGGAGCGAGTTATACAGTTCGCACAAGCACGTAATCACAGTGGTGGGATGGCGTTTGTCTGTATTGTGCAGTACAGTCTTGGTGTGTGTATGTCCAACAGCAGAGTAGCAGGAGAAAGTGGTGAGACAGAGTTAGCGTTAGCCACCTTTAGCAGAATAATAGCATCACATTCACACAGCTGCCATTTACAGCCTTTTACACAGATATACTCGGTTAAAATCCTGTGTGACTTGGGTCACAAAGGGACACAGAGTAGATCCGTACGCCCGTGTTCTGGACACGGTGTACAGTGGAGTTATAAGAATAAGATTTTGCGCTTTCTCTTAAGAGTTTAAGCGGCTTCACATTCCACGCTGCCCGCTGGCCAAGCGGGGCGACACGTTGCAGGAGATGCGTAGTACCTGTGCAAAAGCCAGGATTTTGAGACTAAATTATATAGTCTAGTGCAGTGGTTCCCAAAGTGGGGGTCCCGACCCCCCGGGGGGTCGCGGGATCCCATCGTGGGGGTCGCGAGATGATAAAAAAAAAAAAAAAAAAGTTAATTTTTGCAATTGATTTAATTTAATATTACTACTTGTTAAATTGTGTTTGGAGAAGACATGATACAAATATATAGTATTTTAAATAAATCTGTAATTCCCAAACATTTTGAGATTGACAGCGTCAATCAAAATCAAGTTACGTGCGGCGGGAAACGTACATGTTGTTTGCTAACGCTATTTAGTTTTACGAGGCTACAAACTACAAAATATTCCTGCTTTACAATGAAACGGTGGTTAATATCCAAAACAGAAAAACCCAGAGGGGTAGAAAAGTGTCAGGTGGCAGAGGCCGATGGTGAGAAGACAGCGGAGAATAGTGAGGGCGACCCGCAAGAAATGCCCT